TTCGGCAACGTGAACGAGACGAACGTGGGCCGGCTTGGAGTAGAGAAAGGAGCAACTCGGTCCAGTCCACTGCTGATGTACTGCTGCCTATTTTTATCCGCTGCAAAAATTGAGGGGAGATATATAAAATCGGCTGCGGGCGAGCGTGGGCCGGCTTGCATCGCACGACCCTTTGCCGGTGAAGAGAACAGAGTAGGCCTCGCACGCCAATGGCAGGTTCGTCCTCCCCCCTCCCCCTCCCCCTCCCCCTCCAACCCTAGATAGATCCCCCAACAAACTCTCGATTCCTCGATTAATTTCTCCGATTCCATGCCAAGTCCACCACGTAGCGGTGGATTCGGTCCGATTCGGCTATTCTTGTTCAGTTCCGCTTGAGATTTCGGCCGCGAACTTTGGGGCGAGTGGTTGTTTAGGGATGTTTCACGCTGTTGGAGGAGAGATTTGAGGTGCGGGGACGTGCTTCTGTACGAACTTGGAGCTTGCAGCGCGATGAATCGTTGCCGGGTTGCTCCAGCTATCTTGACGTGGACGAAGGACGGTGGAACTGGCGTCGATTTTATCGATTTGGTAGGAATTGGCGTTGGCGGTTCGTGCGAAGATGTGGGCATGAGAATTTTCGGCCGGTTAGTACTTCGAGCTGTCCCCGGAGATGGCTTGATGTGCCAGTACCCGCTAATTTGTAGCTCTGAGCTTGATTCTATGTTGATTGGCATGATTCAAGAGGGTTTGGTTAGCTCGACGGAGCTTGGCGACCAGAGTTTTGCATACCCTGATGTTCTACGATTGGTTAACGTCCGTGCCTGAGCCCGTATAGGCTTACTAGTTTGTCAAAGTACACTGGTCATTTGAGGTGTAACAAAGTATCTAGTCCTTCCTGGGAGGCAGCCTAAAATCAGGCATTCGATCATATACCTCTTGTTTTCTTGTTGCTAAACCCATTTCCTTTTATTTGACAAAAAAATGCTTATTTGGCTAAACGAGATTCTTGTCTGAAAGATAGCACCTACTCGTGCATTTCCTGTTGGAGCCTTTTATTGGTCTTCTATTTCTGCACTCCAGTTGTGTTGGCCATTCTTCAGTATTGTAGTTTGCTGCTAGCTCACTGCCAGTCACGTGCTTTTCATTATCCGATTATGGGGTTTTGTAATGCCTCTCAACTACTGATGTTATATGCCTCACATATTGATTTCTAAGTGGTTGAGATCAATTCTGATCTTCACTCGGTTAAATTTCCAGGTGCACCACCAAAACCGTGGGAACGTGCTGGGGCTGAGGGAACATCCGGTCCATCACCTTTCAAACCACCATCTGGTGGCAGCACTAGCGATGTCGTCGAAGCTTCTGGTACAGCTAAACCTGGAGAAACCATTGCTGCTACAGAGAGGAACATGTCTGCCAATGTAAATAACCCCATCTCGAGGCCTATGCCCCAACGTCCTTGGCAGCAAACAGGCTATGGAAATTCCTATGGAGGTAATCTCCTGTACTGACCTAGAGCCTATTTGAAGCTTGTTTGCCTTTTGGGGATATCTTGTCAACAATGGTTGTCCTGAGAATGTTCATTTCCTCTTATACAGGAACAGGATATGGATCCAATATGTATAGTTCGGTTGGTGGATATGGCAGTACTTATGGTAGCGGCGGGCTCTATGGGAATAGCATGTACTCGAGCTATGGAGGAGGTGGCGGCCTCTATGGAGGTTCCGGGATGTATGGGGGAGGAATGTATAACAGTGGGATGGGAAGCTCTTATGGTGGTTATGGTATGGGTGGCATGGGTGGCATGGGTGGCATGGGTGGCATGGGTCCTTACGGCAATCCGGATCCAAATTCATTTGGCCCTCCCGCAGCACCACCGGGTTTCTGGGTGTCCTTCCTACGCGTGGTATAATACTTCTCCTACTTTTTCATTGATCATGATTGTGTTCTGTTTCAATTGGTCCAGCCGTCTAGTGCACATTGAAGCATGCCATAACTTCTGAATGTTCATTAATGTCTAATATGAAATGTTTGGATACAAGCATTTTCTGCCTAAAGCAACGCAATCTCTGTATACTTTTTTTTCATCCAGTTGTCCACTTTATTTTACTCTGAAGCTCAGGCTGTTGTGAGTTTCTATGTTGTATCTATTTTGATATGTGTAGTTAAGTAGGTTTTAGTTAATATACATTCTAGTGTGTCATCATGGTAATGTTAAACATTTGGCCATGCTTGTTGACATTTGTTTTTTGGAGTAGAGATCTTATCATCAAGTATATCAAAGTTTATAGATAGACATGTGTGAAGTTACATGTCATTCATAACACATGAAGGCCCTGTTTGATCGCTCAGAATTTTCTATGTATTATGAAAATACTACAGTTTTTTAGATTACCACGGTTTTAATTACTGTGAGCTGTTTGGCAACCACAAAAAACTGTAATATCAATACAACGGTATTCCGCAAACCATGGCATTTTCTCTGGATAAAACACCAACAACCCTGGACCTCTTTTTTTAAAACCGAGCACGCAAAAAGAACGAGCCCATCCTAAGCAGCCGTCGCCGCCCTGTTGTGTGTGGATGGTGTCTTGGTCAGCGGCCATTAACAAATCAAAAAGGTTCCTCCCGCTGCTTCCTCCTATTTTACCTGAAGTCGTGTCCGCCCAATCTGTGTTCCCTCCGTTACTAGATCTTATATAGCGAAGGTCTGTGCGGGGATTTCGTTCCCGTTTCTCGGTGTGCATGATGGACTGGCCTGGCCGGGATGACCAAGCCGTTCCCGTCAACCCGCAGCTCCACCTCGCGTGTTGTGCCGCCGGCTTAGCCGTGTTGCAGAGCGTCAGGTCCTTGCTCTGTGTCAGTACGTTCTAAGTTCGATTGCTCCTCCTTGATGAGTGTGACATCGAGCTTGTGCGTCGTTCAATTAGTCTGTGGTCATACTAGTTTGTGCATGCCGGTGCTCTGTGCATGTTCGTTCATCAGCTTGCAACGTCTAGGTAGCTAGCAACGCGAGCGTTTGCAAACTGCTTCAAACGGCTAGCTCGTTAACTTTAGTTGACGCATATAAGGTCTTGCCAAACAGGTCTACAGTTTTCTGAATACTCCAAAATACTTTGTTATGTCAAAACCGTGGTTTTTTGTACCTACAGGTTAAATTACTGTAGTTTTTCAATACTTTGCTATCAAACACAGCCGGATTATAATAGTTCCCCCATTACTTTGACAGTTTAACACTTGCTTAATCTTTTGAATACAATTCTTCATAACTAATCCTGGATTTGCTACAGATGCATGGTGCTGTCAGTTTCTTTGGGCGAGTTGCATTTCTCGTTGAACAAAACACACAAGCCTTCTATTTATTCATTACTGCTATGTTGCAGGTACTATTATTTTACGTTCTCCTCGCTTGTCTTGGGTTTGAATAGCATGCTTACAGCTGTACTTGCATTGTTTGTATCTGATTGCCACAGCTCTTTGATCGGTCTGGAATGCTTTACGGTGAGCTTGCGAGATTTGTCTTACGCCTGCTCGGAGTCCGAACAAAGTCAAAGAAAGGCCGCGTTCAGGGTGCTGAGGCCCCTGCATTCGAGGGACCTGGCCAGCAGCTTTTTGAGGCACCAAAAGCCGGCAACAACTCATGGGACAATGTTTGGGGAAACTAAGACGCCTTGCCCTTTTATGTGCCGTTCAACTTATAGAAACATACAGTTAGCGAAGGAAAGATTATGAAAGGCATGCATGTCAGCAATCAATCTTAAAGCGAAGAAGAGCGCCCAGTCGGAGGAATTGTCTGTTGTAGTTAGCGAAAGAACACAAGGGCTGCTCTTTCTGATTTTCATGGCTTAATCTGCTGTGAGCCTAATGATGTCCAGTTTGCTTTGCTCGAGGATGCAGTGTTGTTTAAGTATTTCTGTTGTTTGTATCTATGTGGGGGTAAATAATACCTGTTATCTTGAAAAGAATGAAGCGAAATGTATTGTGTTCTCTCCCTATTTCTTAGTTTGATTTTCAGCTGAAGGTGGCATTGAAGATGGTAAATGAAGTGCAAACATTTCATCATCTTCTTAGCAAGTGTGTCACATAAGTACAGACTTGAGCAAAAACGTTTTGTCCAGCTGACTGAGGTACATGTATTATGTACAAGAAGTCAAAGCAGCCAAAATGCTGAAACATTGACATGGGTTAGGCTAAAAAATAACTTTAATTGTTGGTAGCATGACCAACATTCTCCATCTATTTTTTTAATTAACTGATGAAGTGGGCTTTGAAGATTCTGGCTGACAGTTGAGGATGATGATGATGGTGCATGCAGATACAATTGTCTTGTCTCCAAGAAAGAAAGTACCCCCAGGAAACACGTCTGAAGCGCACCCCTGATCGATCAATCAATGAGAATAAATCCTGAAACGCAAACTGGCACGGTGGCCTCGTCTGCAACGGATCCGAAACCGTAGGGCGGAGGAAGAGAAGAAATGACGAAGCTGGAGGGCATTTTCCGCGAGGGGATAAATGTGGCGATTTTGTAGGGAAAGGAGGGTTGCAAGTGGATGAGGAAGCAGTGTAGGAGAACCGCCCTCTCTTCCCACCTCCAATTGCTCATCTCATCCATACAGCCCCTCATCTCTCTCAACTGCTCAATTATTCTCCGTTGTATTGTTTGTCTGCATGCACAGAAACCTTGAGGACTCGCCGCCTCATCTCTTATATTGCATCCATCCCCTTCCCCACCACAACCCCTAGTTCCTTCCTTCCCTTCCCCTCAGCCTTGAGGGGACAGTCAGCCACAGCCTCCTCATACAAGGTAAAAATCTAACGAGTTTCAGAGTAATTTACCAGGTTTATGATGCTCCAGTTCTTGGACGCTGTTACTATGTTATTAGCACATATTCTTTCCTTGTCTTGACCGTGTAATCTTCTTCACTAAGGTGTTTCACCCACTTGCATGTAGTAATTTTCTTTTCTTCAGGTAACTAACGACGCCTCTTGTTGTCTGTATGGATGGTGATTTGCACAGAAAAATGGAGATCACCAATGTCACAGAGTACCAGGCCATCGCCAAGCAGAAGCTTCCCAAGATGATCTATGACTACTATGCCTCCGGTGCCGAGGACGAGTGGACGCTCCAGGAGAACAGGGAGGCCTTTGCCAGGATCCTGTAAGCTGCCTGCCCATCCTTGACGTTTTCGTCCCACGGTATCTCCGTGTCTGTTTTGTTTGTAGAAATGCGTAAGAGCGCCAACTATACAACTGCTAACGTTATGCTCCTCCGTACCAACTGAATTTCGGGGTTTCAGAGTTTGATGTACTACCTTAGAGCACATCTAATTCACCAGAGACAACAAACTTTAAGCAATAATTAAACAGGACGATTCTGATGTTTCGATATATAGCGTTCCAAGTCAATCAGCTTGTCATGTAATGTTCCGGAAATCCATGCTATTTGTCTAATATTCTCCTACTAGTTTAGGAACAGCTATCAAGTTCCTATTTACGTAGTAGCATAATAGGTTGCTCAAGTAATTTCTCAATACATCCTTTCAGAGCTAGACTTACTAACCCTAGTACTACTGATTTACCCATCATTGTTTGCATGTGTTTCGGGTAGGTTCCGCCCGCGCATTCTGATCGATGTATCCAAAATCGACATGACAACAACTATCCTGGGATTCAAGCTCTCAATGCCCATCATGATTTCCCCCACTGCCATGCAGAAGATGGCTCACCCAGATGGTATTGTCTCTCTGAAATGTCATTTGATTGTGCTTAATTGAGCTACACCAAAGTATATAACGTTGTAAGAATTTTGAAATGGTTCCTGCTTTGTCTGCTGCACATTGTTGACCTAATATTGGCATATCCATCCTACTCTCAGGAGAGTATGCGACTGCCCGCGCAGCATCAGCAGCAGGCACTATAATGGTATGTCCATTCAGTCCCTTTGCAGCAGAATATCTACGGATATATGGAACAATCCTATGTGACCAAGTAGAATGAGGTGCTAAAGATGCTGTATTTTTCTTTCAGACATTGTCGTCCTGGGCTACTTCAAGTGTTGAGGAGGTTGCCTCAACCGGACCAGGGATCCGTTTCTTCCAACTCTATGTAAATACTATGTCCGTTGAACAAGTGCTACTTACAGAATCCTTGTCTCTCTCATTTTGTTACTCAGGCTTGTGAATGATCATAGTTCATCTCAACTTTGTAGGTCTACAAAGACAGGAAGGTGGTCGAGCAGCTTGTGAGGAGAGCGGAAAAGGCTGGATTCAAGGCGATAGCGCTCACCGTGGACACCCCGCGACTTGGCCGCAGGGAAGCTGATATCAAGAACAGGTACCCGCCACTCATATTCCCCATAGAATCATATATGATGGTGCAATAAATAATATCGACAGGCAATGTGGTGAAGATGACAATGATACACTGAAGCAACATAAAGCACATCTGTCGGGATTTACACTAAGCAACCTACTTGTGGCTGCAGATTTGTTTTGCCACCAAATTTGACACTCAAGAACTTTGAAGGTTTGGACCTCGGGAAAATGGACCAGGTGCATAATTCATCTTACAGAACACAATACAAACTCTGCATGTCTCTCTGAATTCTCATGGGATCTCTTTGTTCCAAGCAGGCTAACGATTCAGGACTAGCTTCATATGTCGCCGGCCAAATCGACCGCACACTGAGCTGGAAGGTAAACCAAGAAGAAGAAAAAAGTCTTACTTGAACTTGACAACTAACTCCATTCGTGTATGAAATTTGTTCTAGTTGCCGTGGCTCTGAACTGAAGATGTAGCCTTGTGGTGCAGGATGTGAAGTGGCTGCAGTCCATCACCACGATGCCGATCCTGGTGAAAGGAGTGATCACCGCAGAGGACAGCAGGCTCGCCGTCGAGAACGGCGCGGCCGGAATCATCGTGTCCAACCACGGCGCCCGGCAACTGGACTACGTCCCGGCGACCATCAGCGCCCTGGAAGAGGTCGTGAAGGGTGCTGGCGGGCAGATCCCCGTCTTCCTGGACGGCGGTGTGCGCCGCGGCACCGACGTCTTCAAGGCGCTCGCTCTCGGCGCCGCCGGCGTCTTCGTAAGTGCAGTGCATGCTCTTGTCCTGGGCTAGCTAGCTCGCTAGCGAATTCAGCAAGTCATGATATTAGGTGTGACTGTGTGCATGGCATGCAGATCGGAAGGCCGGTGGTGTTCTCGCTGGCGGTGGCCGGGGAGGCCGGGGTGAGCAACGTGCTCAAGATGCTGCGCGACGAGTTCGAGCTGACCATGGCGCTGAGCGGCTGCAACTCGCTGGCCGACATCACCCGCAACCACGTCGTCACCGAGGCCGACAAATTCGGCGTCATGCCGTCCCGCTTGTAACTTGGAACCAAATCAAGTCGGTCCACGTCGCCGGCGGCCGTATAGCGATCAAGGCTCACGTACGTAACGGCATCGATGCGTGATAATGCTACCTAGTGTAATTAATTTTGGACGGGATGTGTGTGTGTGTGTGTTTCCGACTTCCTAAGTGCTGTGATATGGCATGGATCGATTAAACATGATAAATGAATTAAATACGTACATTATTCCTCGCAAAAAAATTTCTTTTTTAAGAGTACGCCTAGACGTACCATAGCTTTATAGAAGGCAGAATTATAAGTACAAGATGACTATCACCCCGCAAAAAAAAAGGTACAAGATGACTATCACTTGCTGCGAACAACGAGTGTAGCACAACCACCACACCCAAGCCACCAACGACCATACACCACTACAAAGCACAAGCGCTTGCCCAACAGATAACAACACCGTGTCTCGACCCATGTCGGCACCTCCGAAGACCAACTGCTCCCACAGAACTTCACTTGTCAACGCACCATCCATCCTGAATGCCGAAGAGGAAGTGGCAAGTAAATGGCAGAACTTGATCCGATCCGAGGAAAACACCGTCTTGGACACACCGGCGACGGCCGTGCATAGCGCCGCCGATAATCAAAATTGGGCCACAGCGAACACCGGAGGAGAGCAACGAGGAACCAGGCCATGTCTCCAAACACGATGCTCTCAACAGAGGAACGACGTCAAGTACGCCGCCATCATGCCGATCTGATCGAATCAAGGCTTTCACCCGGAGACAACAACCAACTCCAAACGAGCGAGGGAAATGTCGAATACACTCGGCAATGCCTCCAAGGAGGGGAATGACACCCACGGGCGCCATCGCCGCCGGCCCGGCAAGAGCCATGCAAGATTTGTTGGGGAACATAGTAATTTCAAAAAAAATTCCTACGCACACGCAAGATTATGGTGATGGCATAGCAACGAGAGGGGAGAGTGTTGTCCACGTACCCTCGTAGACCGTAAGCGGAAGCGTTATGACAACGCGGTTGATATAGTCGTACGTCTTCACGATTCGACCGATCCAAGCACCGAACGTACGGCAACTCCGTGTTCAGCACACGTTCAGCTCGATGACGTTCCCCGGGCTCCAATCCAGCAAAGCGTCGGGGATGAGTTCCGTCAGCACGATGGTGTGGTGACGATGATGATGTTCTACCGGCGCAAGACTTCGTCTAAACTTCGCGACGATATGACCGAGGTGGAATATGGTGGAGGGGGGCACCGCACACGGCTAAGGAACGATCCATAGATCAACTTGTGTGTCATGGGGTGCCCCCTGCCCCCGTATATAAAGGAGCAAGGGAGGAGGAGGCCGGCCCTAGGAGGAGGGCGCGCCAAGGGGAGTCCTACTCCCACCGGGAGTAGGACTCCTTCTTTCCTAGTCCAACTAGGAGAAGGGGGGAAAGGAGGGAAGTGGAGAAGGAAGGGAGAGGGGGGCCGCGCCCCAAACCCCTTGTCCAATTCGGACTGGGCTTGGGAGGGGCGCGCGCCACCTCCTGGCTCCTTCCCACTAAGGCCCATTAAGGCCCAATACTCTTCCCCGTATTTCCGTAACTCCCCGGTACTCCCAAAAATACCCGAATCACTCGGAACCTTTCCGAACTCCGAATATAGTCGTCCAATATATCGATCTTTACGTTTCGACCATTTCGAGACTCCTCGTCATGTCCCCGATCTCATCCGGGACTCCGAACTCCTTCGGTACATCAAAACTCATAAACTCATAATATAACTGTCATCGAAACCTTAAGCGTGCGGACCCTACGGGTTCGAGAACTATGTAGACATGACCTAGAACTATTCTTGGTCAATAACCAATAGCGGAACCTGGATGCTCATATTGGCTCCTACATATTCTACGAAGATCTTTATCGGTCAAACCGCATAACAACATACGTTGTTTCCTTTGTCATCGGTATGTTACTTGCCCGAGATTCGATCGTCGGTATTCAATACCTAGTTCAATCTCGTTACCGGCAAGTCTCTTTACTCGTTACATAATGCATCATCTCGCAACTAACTCATTAGTCACATTGCTTGCAAGGCTTATAGTGATGTGCATTACCGAGAGGGCCCAGAGATACCTCTCCGGCAATCGGAGTGACAAAACCTAATCTCGAAATACGCCAACCCAACATGTACCTTTGGAGACACCTGTAGTACTCCTTTATAATCACCAGTTACGTTGTGACGTTTGGTAGCACCCAAAGTGTTCCTCCGGTAAACGGGAGTTGCATAATCTCATAGTTACAGGAACATGTATAAGTCATGAAGAAAGCAATAGCAACATACTAAACGATCAAGTGCTAGGCTAACGGAATGGGTCATGTCAATCACATCATTCTCCTAATGATGTGATCTCATTAATCAAATGACAACACATGTCTATGGTTAGGAAACATAACCATCTTTGATTAATGAGCTAGTCAAGTAGAGGCATACTAGTGACTATATGTTTGTCTATGTATTCACACATGTATTATGTTTCTGGTTAATACAATTCTAGCATGAATAATAAACATTTATCATGATATAAGGAAATAAATAATAACTTTATTATTGCCTCTAGGGCATATTTCCTTCAGTCTCCCACTTGCACTAGAGTCAATAATCTAGTTCACATCGCCATGTGATTTAACACCAATATTCACATCTGTATGTGATTAATACCCAATAGTTCACATCATCATGTGACCAACACCCGAAGGGTTTACTAGAGTCAATAGTCTAGCTCACATCGCTATGTGATTAACACCCAAAGAGTACAAAGATATGATCATGTTTTGTTCGTGAGAGAAATTTAGTCAACGGGTCTGTCACATACAGAGCCGTATGTATTTTGTAAATATTCTATGTCTTCAATGCTCGGCATGGAGCTACTCTAGCTAATTGCTCCCACTTTCAATATGTATCCAGATTGAGACTTAGAGTCATCTGGATCAGTGTAAAAGTTTGCACCGATGTAACTTTTACAATGAACTCTTTTATCACCTTCATAATCAAGAAACATCTCCTTAGTCCTCATTAAGGATATCCTTGACCGCTTTCCAGTGATCTACTATTAGATCAAAATTTTATTCCTTTGTCAAACTTAGAACAAGGTATACAATAGGTCTGGTTCACAACATAACACACTTTATAGAACCTATGACTGAGGCATAGGGAATGACTTTTCATTCTCTTTCTATTTTCTGCCATGGTCGGGTCTTGAGTCTTACTCAACTTCACACCTTGCAACACAAGCAAGAACTCCTTCTTTGACTGTTCCATTTTGAACTATTTCAAAAAATTTATCAAGGTATGCACTCATTGAAAAATCTTATCAAGTGTCTTGATCTATCTATATAGATCTTGATGCTCAATGTGTAAGTAGCTTCACCGAGGTCTTTCTTTGAAAAACTCCTTTCAAACACTCCTTTATGCTTTGCAGAATAATTATACATTATTTCCGATCAGCAATATGTCATTCACATACACTTATCAGAAATGCTGTAGTGCTCCCACTCACTTTACTGTAAATACAGGCTTCTTCAAAAGTCTGCATAAAACCATATGCTTTGATCAACTCATCAAAGCGTATATTCCAACTCCGAGATGCTTGCACCAGTCCATAGATGGATCGCTGGAGCTTGCACACTTTGTTAGCATCTTTAGGATTGACAAAAACTTTCTGGTTGCATCATATACAACTCTTCTTTAATAAATCCATTAAGGAATGCAGTTTTGACATCCATTTGCCAGATTTCATAAAATGTGGCAATTGCTAACATGATTCAGACAGACTTAAGCTTCGATACGAGTGAGAAAATCTCATCGTATTCAACACCTTAAACTTGTTGAAAACCTTTCGCAACAAGTCGAGCTTAGTAGATAGTAACACTACTATCAGTGTCCGTCTTCCTCTTGAAGATCCATTTATTTAACATGGCTTGCTGATCATCGAGCAAGTCAATCAAAGTCCATACTTTGTTCTCATACATGGATCATATCTCAGATTTTATGGCCTCAAGCCATTTCGTGGAATCTGGGCTCATCATCGCTTCCTCATAGTTCATAGGTTCATCATGGTCTAGTAACATGACTTCCAGAACATGATTACCGTACCACTCTGGTGCGGATCTTACTCTGGAAGACCTACTAGGTTTGGTAGCAACTTGATCTGAAGTTTCATGATCATCATCATTAACTTCCTCACTAATTGGTGTAGGAATCACTGGAACTGATTTCTGTGATGCACTACTTTCCAATAAGGGAGAAGGTACAATTACCTCATCAAGTTCTACTTTCCCCCCACTCACTTCTTTCGAGAGAAACTTCTTCTCTAGAAAGGATCCATCTTAGCAACGAATAACTTGCCTTCGGATCTGTGATAGAAGGTGTACCCAATAGTTACCTTTGGGTATTCTATGAAGACACACTTCTCCGATTTGGGTTCGAGCTTATCAGGTTGAAAACCTTTTTCATATAAGCATCACAACTCCAAGCTTTAAGAAATGACAGCTTAGGTTTACTGCTAAACCATAGTTCATACGGTGTCGTCTCAACGGATTTAGATGGTGCCCTATTAAACGTGAATGCAGCTGTCTCTAATGCATAACCCCAAAACGATAGTGGTAAACCGATAAGAGACATCATAGATCGCACCATATCTAGTAAAGTACGATTACGACGTTCGGACACACCATTACATTGTGGTGTTCCAGATGGCGTGAGTTGCGAAACTATTTCACATTGTTTCAAATGAAGACCAAACTCATAACTCAAATATTCGTCTCCACGATCAGATCATAGAAACTTGATTTTTCTTATTACGATGATTTTTCCACTTCACTCTGAAATTCTTTGAACTTTTTAACTATTTCAGACTTATGTTTCATCAAGTAGATATACCCATATCTGCTCAAATCATCTGTGAAGGTTAGAAAATAAAGATACTTGCCACGAGTCTTAACACTCATCGGATCGCATACATCGGTATG